CTCACAAGCCCATATCTTTGTACAGAAAAAAAAATAAAAAAAAAACCAAAAAGAAATCATTAATGGTCTTTTTAAACAACTAGAAAACGTAAAATAAACAAAAAAAATTTAAATTGTACACATGTACCTGAAGAGGCATCAAATACGCGTGGATGTTGAACTGCACATCAGACCCATCCTCAGGCGCGCGTATGACATCATCAAGGTAATGGTGTAATCGTTGGAAGGCATACGCCCCCTAAGGAAACATCCTGGACATCTCAGGCTCGTCCACTGAGCTCCAAAGCGATAGTGGCACAGTGGATCTGGGGTCGGGTGCAACGAAAAAATAGTGAACTATTAGTAGGTGTGCAACCTTCAATGCGTTTTCGGGGTACTCCGCGAACCTTCCGTTCTTGAAGTCATTAAGCAAGTGAGCACCGACTACACTCTTGCCGTCATAATGACGGCGATATACCCCATTTTCCGGTGGTGCTATAGACTCGTGCTCGTCGGGGATGAACGATGACCCACCGAACTTCAAGCCGGTAATTTGGCAAAACTTGACTTTGCCAAATTTATAATTTTTTCCCCCAATTCTATACCAATGCTCCTTCTCCCGAGCACCATCAACAATGACCTTCCGACCGAAAAGTGCGAGCAGTAGTTTTCCATTGTAGTATGCATGTGCATCGAACCTTAAAAAGTGTCCAAAAACTGATTCTTTGAACTTCGTAAGGCAGCCACACACACCTAATTGCTCTTCAATGTGGCGTATTACTACTGGCTTCGTCTGGCAGTTTATTTTGCCACTCCAGTTGCACGCCTCATTCCATCGCCAACTCCAAACATGAGCCTAAAATTCATGAAACAACATGTTATTTTTTTTAAATACTTTCTAGTTATTGAAAAACAAAATATTTTGTCAGAACGTCCGGTGACACCAACCGGCAAACATTCAGCAGCGTTTACCATTGCTCCCTCAGCCGCGTCTCCACTGTTATCCTTCCCGTAATCTGCACGAATGCGGAGAAGTTATATGAGGATAAATGGCCGATTTTTTTTCTTTTGTTTTTTGCGCAGTGAAGCGGTAGAGGGCCTAGTGGGGGCTATGGTGGTGTATTGGGTGATGAAGACGGCGGCGGTTGACGACATCGACGGTGACTGGAACTCCGGGGTTGAGCTCCGGCGTAGGTGGACGGGGTGACTTGGTGATTGAGTCTTTGGATTTGTGGGGTTTTTGGTTGGAAATTTGATATTTTGTAGGGGCTCAATTGAAATTTCTCTAACTGTCTTTTATTTCAATTTAACACTTGAGGCCAATTTGTAATAAAATAGAAGTTCAATTAATGCACAATAAAGATAAATAAATTGCACATTATCATGCGATAACATACACATTAAAAAAGAAAGTCATATTTTTTCGAAATCATGGTTTTCTCGATTTCTACACATTTAAAAGTTCACAAATTAAATAAAGTGTTAATATTGATCTAATATTGGCGAAGAAAAAAAAACAAACCGAACAAACTTTTGTTCCAAGACACTAAAATTGAAACGTCATAACTGGATTTTTTTTTTTGTCAATTAACTAAAATAACCAAAATATTCGAAATAAATTATATTATTTATTATAAATTCATGTTTGGTATTTAATATTTCATATTACATCTAATTTGATTAAAAAGATAATATAATATGTAAACGAAATATAATGTGCAATCTAACATACATTAAGGTGTAATATGTCAAACATTATGATGCATGGTGACGGTCCGCATTGTGCATATTGAACCTATCGAATTTTTTTCCCAAATCAAATTGAATTTGTACACAATTAATTTGGTTATTCGGTTCAGTTAATCCAAGTGATATAAATAACCGAAATAATGTGTTATTTATATTAAAATTATATTTAATATGTTAACAATTTTATTTATTATTTTTATATTATTATTGGTAAAAAATAATTGTGTCCGGGTGGTTACAATATTTTTTGTGCAATCCGATAGTAGTAATTGTGCGTTGTTATGTAAAGTGCAACGTGATGGTTTATAAGTGCAACCGGTTGATGTATAAAGTACAATACTGTATTTTTTTGTACGTTATCATGTGTCTTGTGTGGATAAATGATGTGATGAGTGTTAACATTAGATTTATATATTAGATTTATGTTGTGTAGTATTTTTTTGGCGGGATCTATTGACGTTAGTTGTGGAGTACGATAAAGTATATCTTGTCGTTTTATACGGTGCAACGTCTTGTTTTATAAAGTGCGACATGTTGTTTTATAAAGTGCAAAGTGTTATATTATAGAGTGTATTAATTTATACGATCCCATGTAAACTATGTGTATTCAAAAACTATTTTTAATAAATATAAGTGTACATCGAAGTAAACTAAATAATTAAAATATTTTATTACTTATTATTATAATAGTTGTGGAGTACGATGATAAAGCGTATCTTGTTGTTTTATACGGTCCAACCTTTGTTTTATAAAGTGAGACATGTTGTTTTATAAAGTGCAAAGTGTTGTATTATAGAGTGTATTAATTTATATGATCTCATGTAAATTATGTGTATTCGAAAACTATTTTTAATAGATATAAGTGTACATCCAAGTAAACTAATGAATTAAAATATTTTTATTATTTATTATTATAATTGTATATTTATTATTGTATTTTTTATATTTTTATATTATTTTATTTTTAAAAAAATAAGTTATATTTTAAATTATTTAGTATTCAATATTTTTATTTATTATTTTATATTATTTTACTTTTTTATTGTTTCTATATAACAAATTATTATTTTTATATACATAAACAAAAATATATGAAAAACATATTTTTTTTAATAAATTTTCAATAATTATAGATTTGGCATGTGGGCTTAATTGATATATTATGCAAAGTTATATAAAAGTGCAATTAAGTCCTTGAAACACTTTTAATTTACAAAATAGACAAAACCTAATTTGCATATAGATCCTCCCCACATCTCAAATTCTTCAAACCTGCTCCTCGACCGATTTGCTGCAATTTGTTCGAAACCTTTGAAATGGCCCTGTTCATTTAGTAATTTATTCGCCGTCGTGGTCCTCGTCGGAGGCCGGGGAGAAGGAGAGCGTGCCGGAGATGACTCGCCAGCAGAAGGAAATAGGATAAGTTCGTTGGCAGATGAAGGCGGCAATGATAGCGGGCGGCGGCTGTGGGTGGTGGGACCGGGATGTGGCAGTTCGCGACGCTAAGTGGTTTTCTGGTGTGTGGTGCCTGACGGAGGGGACAAGCAGTGGTCGTGGTCTATGCGGCGCTGCGTGTGTGTGTGTGTGTGTGCGCAGAGTCTCGGCGATGGCAAGGCGGTCGGCGGGACTGGGTGGCGGCTGAGGGAGTCACTGTATGTTGCGTCGTGGTGAGGTGCCTGTCGGAGGCGAGGGGCAGTGGCCAAGGGCTGGGAGCGGCGATTCTGTGACGGGACGACCATATTTTCACGGCGGGCGATGGGGTGGGGTTGCCGGCGGAGCTCTTCACGGTGACTCTGTCAAAAGAACGACTCTTCACGGCGACTCTGGAGAGAGAGAGAGAGAGAGAGAGAGAGAGAGAGAGAGAAACGTTACCTGGAGGAGTGAGAGGGACGTACAACTGGCGTGTTTAATGGGTTGGTGTGGGTGGGCCCATTAAAGTGGTGGTTGAAAAAGACTACTGTTGGTATGGCTCATATATTGACAAAAGAAGAGGGCAGACTGATGCCTGCGAGCGTAACGGAGCGAACGTAGCGAGGGAAGCGGAGCGAACGTAGCGAGGGAAACGGAGCGACCGAGCGAAGTGAGCGGAGTGGAGCGAGCAGGCATCAACCCTTGTTGGACTGGGTCGATTAGTTGGGCTGGGGGTACGGGGGCGGAGCCCCCGTGGTATAGACGGGGGTGCGGGGCCAGAGCCCCCGCGGTACGGTACAGGGTATTTAAGTAAATTTATACCTTGTAGGGTTTTAGTATAAATACATGGTGTATTGATGTATTTGATACGATTGAGAATAATAAAGATCCCTCAGCCGCCGTGGACGTAGGCACATTGCCGAACCACGTAAATTTTGTGTTGTTTACTTTTCTCGTTTTTTAATTCGTGTGCCATATTGTCATCTTTTCTCAACAAGTGGTACCAGAGCCTGGTTGATTGGGCGACGGAGATGACGGGAGGATCGAAATTCGAGGTCTCGAAATTTGATGGTCATGGCAATTTCAGATTATGGCAGACGAGAGTAAAAGATTTATTGGCGCAGCAAGGAATTCAGAAAAGGCTGCGTGCAGAAAAGCCAAAGGGGATGGAAGACGATGATTGGCAAGATCTGCAGGAACGGGCGGCCGAGACAATTCGGTTGTGCCTTGCAGATGAAGTTATGTATCACGTTATGCATCTCAAATCGGCGGATGAGATCTGGAAGAAACTGGAATCGCAGTTCATGTCGAAAACCCTAACGACAAAACTGTATCTAAAGCAGAGGTTATACGGGCTGAAGATGCAGGAGGGGACCGATTTTATGGCAACATGTAAATATCTTCAATCAGGTTGTCACGTATTTGGCTTCACTCGAAGTCGAGATTGAAGATGAAGACAAGGCGATGATTTTACTGTGTTCGTTACCTCCTTCTTACGAACATATGGTGACTACCCTTACATATGGGAAAGAAACGATCAAGACTGAGGAGATTACTTCAGCGTTGTTGGCTCACAACCAGCGGAAACAGAAATCTGGAGAGTCATCTTCTCAAAGTGACAATTTATATGTGAAGGGTAACCAGGATCGTGGAAGGAAACAGGTGCGGGATAATTCAGGAAATCGGAATTTCAGATCCAAGTCGCGAGACAAATAGAAAGGGAGGAAAATTGTGACGTGTTATAAATGCAAGGAACAAGGGCACTTTAAACAGGATTGCCCAAAGTGGAAGAAACAGACTGCTGATATGTCATCCAAGTCTGCGAATGTGGTACAGAATGA